GTTGCAGAGTTTTTCTTGTTAAGCAAACTCTGAATATAGTTTGCCAGACTTTTCTTAAACCTCAGGAGGTGCCTTTGTCCCTGTGTCCTTCACACCCTTCCATCTGTATTTCTTCTCTGCAGACGTTCTGCCAACATTGCCACAAACCACCCAGGGTGAAATGAGATTTGCAGGGAGACACTGGGATGGATTAAACAGGTCTTTTATAGGAAGGATGATTGCAAAAGTAATCTCTTAATTTGGTTGAAGCAAATAAATGCATACAGTGAATATTTTACACTCTTGCTTTTGAAATCTCAAAGAGGAGAATTCCCTGATACTAACTTGGACGTTCAGGTGAGGGGCTCCTAGGTGGCGCAGTTAGGCATCCGACTCTTGATTTTGGCTCGGGTCATGATCTTGCAGTTCATGAGTTCGAGCCCTACTTAGGGCTCCGTGCTGACAGTGCAGAGCCTGCTTGGGATTCTGTCTTTCTCTTTCTCTCTCTGCCCTGCCTACACTCTCTCTCTCTCTCTCTCAAAATAAATAAATAAATAAATAAATAAACTTTAAAAAAAAAGTTTAGCTGAGACTACTTTATTCTTCAGACAGCTTCCCTACATAGGTTTCTCTCTTACAGAGCTTCATATCATCTATTTTTAATATTTTGATTCAGCGATTGATGTTTTAGTTTTGGTAGATAGAACATTACACCTTAGCTAAAAATCTAATTCTTAGTTTAGTTGAAAGCTTTCAACCGGTGACATGAAATTTTAACGGGACTATTTAAACTCAGTCATCCATGACCCCTTACTGAGTAGACTTAACTTTTCAAGCAGTCCTCCCTAGAGGGCGCCATATCCTCACTTCCCAACTGGGTCCTTCTAACGTTGGCTGCTGGCCCCATAACATCATGTGAGGCTGAAGTCACTTAGATTACCACATTGGAATCTTTTCGTAAATCTATCTGCAGTGGAGCCTTTATTTTAGCATGATAAATGCATATCTTCTGGCACGTATTTTGTTTAAGCGTTACAAGTGAGACCTTGTTTAGGAACAGAGGCGATGGTGTTCATTTGGCATGGTTGGTTGTTCAGTCAGTTCAGTCCATCTCTGTGCCCACATACAGTGGCCTGAGGAGCATTATGGACCTCTGATGGGGTATCAGATAGAATACTAAGGACAGATTCGGCGGACCTGTGCTTTCATATTGTGTATGTCACTACAGAAGGTACTTACCCCATTACATTTCAGTTTCCTTATTTGTAAGATTGGAGAGCTAGGCTTTTTTTTTTTTTTTTTTTTTCATGATCCCATTAGCTCTGTAATGTGATCTTTGGTACATAATAATATTTCTGTACCGTTTGATAGAGGAAGCGATACTAATGCTCCGAACTGCTAATTCTAAGGAAATTTAGGTAGTGACCCACTGAAATTTAGGTCAGCCTGAAGAAAATATATTAAAGAAGAATTACAGCTGATTATTGAAAAGCATAAATGCTAATAAATGTGTTTTTTTCTTATATGAAATTTATTGTCAAATTAGTTTCCATACAACACCCAGTGCTCATCCCAAAAGATGCCCTCTTCAATGCCCATCTAAATATGTTTTTATGTATCTTTTAAAAACATGAATGTTTTCCTGAAATCAGCATAAGTTATTGGTTTAAAATACTGGCTCAGAAGAATACGTGTCAATTACCCAGTATCTGTCACTATGCATAACAGAGAGTCTTCCCTCAAGAAATAGTTGTTGAATGAATGGCAAGATGGCTAATTCCATTTTTATTAGCCATCAACTTTTATTACAACTTTTAGTACAACTTTTATTTCTAGAACATTCCTTATTTGCGGAATTGGAATTTATTTCTCTGGACTTTGACAATGGCTTTATATTTACTCCTTTGGGTTATATTGAGTATATTGTGTTTGCTGGATTTTCATCTTTTCCCGTCCCACTACTAAAATAAATGCTAAGAGTTTGTCAAAGCATAAGATACATATCACTGGCCACGCTTGTAATTAGGCATAACTCTTTGTGCATGGCTATTTTTAAGTTTTGGGTTTTTTTTTTTTTACAACAATTAGCCTGCCTGATATAGTCTTATCTTTCCAACTATAATCATCATTCTTTAGAACTTCCTTATACACATTGTTCAGCATCCTCATTACTGTCTCCCAAATCGATCCTGGTTTGTCTACAACCTTCATACTCTGTCAACTAAGAACTGAACACCATTTTCAACATTTATCAATGTCAAGAAAACCAGGATTACCATTGCCTTTCTTATAAATACTGGTTTTCTGCCAATACAACTTAACTACATGCTGGTTTATACTAATACCAAAGTCTTTTCCATGATGCACAGGTAGATCACATCTCTATAACATCATGGTTTTTTTGTTTGTTTTTTTTTTAAGTTTAGTTATTTTGAAAGAGAGAGAGTGTGTGCACATGCACATGTGAGTGGGAGAGGGGCAGAGAGAGAGGGGGCAACAGAATCCCAAGTAGGCTTTGCTGAGCACAGAGCCCGACATGGGTCTCAATCTTACAACCATGAGATCATGACCTAAACTGAAATCAAAAGTCGACGCTCAATCTAATGAGCCACCCAGGTGCCCCTACCATGGATTTTTCAAAATTTAAATCAAGATCTACTTTTACTCTCCATTGAAGTTCATCTTCTTAGACTTAGCCTGCATGAGGGAACATTTTGGATTCTGGATATGCCAACCGATTAATTACTTTTGCTTCTACCTTTATGTCATCTACAACAAACCAGCCTCATGACTTTGTCACATGTTCCATTCACGCATGTGTCTAATTCAACAGAGTCAAGAGAGAGCAGTTATACTCACTGCTAGAAACCACGTTCCAATGTGTCTACAAAAACATCTCTGAGGTCTTATCAGATACCTTTAAAAAATTCATGCAATCATCCTGTTTCAGGCCTAAGTAAAAGGAAACACGATTGTCATGACCTGATTCAATGCACATGATTTGTAGTGACTCTTCGTGACCAACTTTTCCTTTCCCAAGAGCCAACAAACCATCCTGTTAATAACTACTCTAGAAATTTGCTGGAACTAAACATCAGGCAAGATGGTGGATGACAGAATCTACTTTGCATTCTTTTTATAAATTCTGTGATGCATATGTGCATCTCAGGTTTTGTGGCCTGTCCATAGACCCTCGGAACCTAGGTTGCAGGTGAATGAGCTCTTGCCATACAGTACGGTGTGATTTTCCGGGCTTGGAGTTTGGATCCTCCTGGCTTCAAGTCCTCTACTAAAACCAAAGGCTTTACTTTCCCCTTTTCAAGGTTTGCTTTACACTTGTTAGGCCTAGATCATTGATGTTGAGAAGACACAGACAATAGGAGATGCCAACTTTTATATCCATCAATATTTTTCTTCCACGCTAGCTATAGCTTCCTTGACACTTTTTTTTTTCCTACACACACACACATTAAAACTATCAATACAAATAAGAAGTACCTCCAGACAATTCATGTTGGACAGTGTGCAATGGGTATGATAGAGAAAATAGAAACACAGAATAGAGAAATCGCTTTGATCACAGCACCTCCACAAATGTGCTTTTTGAGCTGTCTTTGCAAATGAGTAGGATTTTGACGAGAAGCATTGAGAGTGACTCTAAGTGCAAAAAGTGACAGAAGCAAGATCATAAATGAGCAAGTGCTTAAATATTTAAGACATGGCAAGGACACTATTAGCTTACCTAGTAGAGAAGAGTTGGATTAACAAGGGCCTTATAGTTTCCTCCTCATTTGAAATCATCTGATAAGGAAGGTGTGGATGTTTTCAGTTGTGATATGAGTGAAGTTTTTTAAAGATGTTCTTTGTAAGTAATCTCTACACCCAACGCCGGGCTTGAACTCACAACCCAAAGATCAAGAGTCACACGCTCTGCCAACCAAGCCAGCCAGGTGCCCCTGATAGGAGTGAATTTGTAAACTTAACCTGAAGCAGAGAAAGATTGCAATGAGAAAAATCAGGAGATTTTACAGTAACCCGTGCCACTCGAACAAAGATTGCAATAAATAGAAGGTATAGAAACAGTCCATATAGTAAAGGTGGGGGGAAAAATGAAGGTGGATTTCATATTAATTAAACTTTTAAAGTATACATATATTGTATTAAAATTACTTTACTTACCTGCTCCCCCTTCCCCCCCTCCCAAGTTAGCACTCTTTCCCCAAGTGTGAACTGCCTAGAGCTGATCATACTCAGGATTTTTTCGGGGGGATTTCATACACAGCTTTAAATAACATCGGCCCCCCAAAATAAATAAATAACATCAACTCACGCTGTGAAGAGTTACTTTCTTTTTGATTCTCTTTCAATGCTCCTGGTTACACCAAGGATAAAGTCTCTGCTTAGAGTCCGTTTGGCCTTAACCACCTGCCTAGCATTGGCCAGTCTCCCCTTCTCACAAAGAGAGTGCGGGTTTGGGCTTAAACTTTGGTAGGCAACATTTGGTCAGTAGAATCAGTAGCACAGATAGAATTTGGTAGGTAGAATTGAATAGCAGCACGTACTTAATTTTGTCCTTATATTTTCAAATTGCTTTTCATTATTCTGTTTTTGACAACTGATACTCCATTTCACTTATGGTCAAGGCATATGGTTTTACTTGAAAATAAAATTTTATGGAAAAAAAATGAAGACACTGACTCAAAGGATGTTAAGGATATACTAGCAGGTGATAAAACAGTTTGGCAAAAATCAAGTTGCTGACCCATAGGTAAGTAGCATTCAATCAACACTGCTGGAGTGGAGATCCAATTGGAATTGCATGAACTTTACATGTTTGTTTTTTTTTAATGTTTATTTATTTTTGAGAGAGAGAGACAGCGTAAGCGAGGGAGGGGCAGAGAGAGAGGAAGACACAGAATGCCAAGCAGGCTCCAGACTCTGAGCTGTCATCACAGAACCCGACGCGGGGATCGAACTCGGGAGCTGTGAGGTCATGACCGGGGCCGAAGTTGGACGCCTAACCGACCGAGCCACCCAGGCGCCCCAAAACTTTACATGTTTTAAAGATTTGTTTTGTCCCCTCCGTGGATTTACCACTGAGTGAAATCATGTGCTGTGTCCCTGAGAGCTTGCCTGGTGGCCCGTGGATGATGGATCGGTGACTGCTGCTCTTCAGGAGGGGGGAGGGGAGCAGGGGAAGCCTGTTCTTAGAGCATCAAGTCACGACTTTGACTACTAGAGACTTGCTGTTTCCCTAGGGCAGCTGTCCCCGATGTAGAGGCAAGACAGATTCCATCTCACGACAACGAAGTTCTTTCTAAAGACAACAGGAAGCCCCGTTTCTCAGTTCTCTTCCAAAGTGACTCCAATACACCTGCTGACCTCTTTTCTAAAATTAGTTTCACGGAAGGCGTGATTGATTTCAAGCACTTTATAGATTTAATTTAACGTTCATTCCCTCTTGTCTTATTGCCCAGCTTGAGTAGAGATGATCATCCGGATGATTAGAGAAAGAAAGCAAGGCCCTGACGGCTACTTTGGGGGCCGAATGCAGAACTCTCTTCTCCCTGAGTTGGAAGCTGGGCCCCACAGAGGTATGGATTGCTGATGGATAGACCCTAATGGCTCTTTTAATGCAAACAATTGATTCTGGAGGCAGGAAGCTGCCGGAAGGGGCTGCTCTGAAACTCTGATCAGCACACTAGGCATTCATGGTTTTCACTTAGGAAAATAAATGCTCTCCAGACTTTTAAGCCAGGCCTGTGGCTTTATGCTTAGAGCCCATATTCTTGCATCAGAACGACGCATGCAAACATGGCTCTCCCATATATTAATACTAGCTGTGTGGCCCTGGGAAAGTTGTTTAACCTCTCTGAGCTTCAGGTTTCTCAGCTTTAAAATAGGGATGCGTTCGTTTCCCAGGGGTACCATAGCAAATGAACACAAACTATGTGGCTTACCGCGGAAATTTATTCTTTCACACACTGGAAGACTTGAATCAAGTAGGTAACAAGTCCGTGCTCCTTCTGAAGATTTTAGGGGTGAATCCTTCCTTGCCTCTGCCAGTTTCTAGTAGCTCCCTGGAGCCAATTCCTTGGCTTGTGACCGTGTCATCGCAATCTCCGGCCCATTCTCAGGTGGCCCCTCTTCTCTGCGTGTCCTCCACCCTCCTTTTATGAGGACGCCTGCCTTTGGATTTAGAGTCCACCCCGATAATCCAAAATGATCTCATCTTAAAATCCTTAACTTAATTCCAGCTGCAAAGACTCTTCCCAAATAGAGTCACCTTCACCAGTTCCACGGATGAGGATGTGTACTCATCTCTTGGAGGGGCTACCGTTTAACCCACTACAAGGGATAAGATGACACTCACATCACAGATGAAATGAGAAAATGCTGAGCATTCGGGCCATGCTCAAGAAATGTTAGTCGTCATCACTTTTATGATTATTAAATAGCTCCTTGGTTTTGGTATTATAATATTTGCTTTTGGTAGACCTGACTGAACTTAACAGTGACTTCTATTATCATTAGACCTGAGGCAAGAGTATAAGTGGGACTCCCGTGGCCTTTGAGCAGTTCGTGCAAGACAACATGGTTTCTCTCCCCAAAGTGGCTTGGGAATCACTGACCTTATTTTATCAGAATAAGTGCATATTACAGAATTTTAAAGGGATGATATTTTTTGTAGTTTCATAGACAACAAATGCCATTAGGGTTGAAAGATGCTAATGATATACCAACAACTCCGGTCCATAAAATTTGGAAAAAGGACTATTACTAGAGAAAACCTCCCTGGAGACTAACAGCTATGAAAATTTTTTTCTCTGCTTTAGACGTGCCATTCTTGAACGAAACGTTTATTTGATTCAACCCGAAGTCAATAACATCAGTGAAGCATAATTTCAGGACTGTGGGTCTTTTCTCTGATTTGTACTTGAGAAAGTTGCACTGCCCAGGGGGTAGTTCTGTTCCTACGATCCGTATCCTGGTGAATCGGTAAAATAAAGGCCTGCTACCTCCCACCAGGGGGAATCCAAACCCTCCTGAGGTGGTAGGTGTGCCGCAAACTCTAACTCAAGCCTGTAACCTTCTGAAATTCCTTTCCGTTCTTAGAGATGGCACTTAATCATTTTCTCTAATTTTTCGTTCTCACTTGTCCACACCAGGGCAGGCCACACTGATATGGCTCATACCACTTATTTGGTGTGCACTGAGCATCTAACGATACCACAGGCCCGTTCTGGGAGGGGTGCGTAATGAGATTTCATCTACTGTTTCTTTCCTTTGAGACTGGCTGGTCTGGCTATTGACATACTGTGGTAACTAGTCACTAAAACACTTCCTGTATCCCGTTATACTCGTAAGTTAAAGAAAACTGAATGGTAGACAGATCTCAGCCTTTAAGGCCAAAGAAATGAATGGAAATAATTCTCTTTGTTGTCTGTCATCTAAGAAGAAGCAGGTTTACTTCGCGTGAACTCACTGAGAAAGACTCATACTGTTGTTATTGTAGGTCTTGGTCTGTGCTTCCTCTTATTCACCGTGCAGTTCAGGAACAAAAACTTGGATACATGATGCGATGATTAAATAACACTGAGGATGACGGTTTGGTTACTTTTATAAAACAATCTGGCAAAGACGATGAATGAGGGTTCGCACTTGAGGCCTCTTTTCACAGTGGACACCAGGGGGCGACACTTACGCAGGCATATCTCAGAGATCATGTGGGTTTGGTTCCAGACCCCTGCAGTAAAGTGAATAGGGCAGTAAAGCAAGTCGAATGAATATTTTGGTCTCCAGTGCATGTAAAAGTTATGCTTACACTAAACTGTAGTCTATTAAGAACACAATAGCATTGTGTATTTAAAAAAAAAAAAACAAAATGTATATACCTTATGTAAAAAAAAAAAACCTTACTGCTAAAAAATGCTAACCATCATCCAAGCTTCCGGCAAGCTGTTAATCACTTGATCGCAGATCACCATAACAGATACAATCATGAAAAAGTTTGGAATATTGCAACAATTACCAGAATGTGACACAGACACGGGAACAAATGCTGTTGGAAAAATGGCACCAGTTGACTTCCTCAATGCAAGGTTGCTACAAACCTTCAGTTTGTAAACAAAACAAAACAAAACACTATCTACGAAGTGCAATAAAACAAGGTGTGCCTGTATTTAGAGATTTCAACATTTAGCAGAGAAGTGACATCTGCCTCCAGATGTGGCCTCCAGAAGTAGGATGCCTTCATGAGGGACATTGGTTTTTATGTTTGAAACACTTTTCTTCACTTTACCTCCCAAGTGTCGTTTATTCATCCTTCATGACACAACTCAAAGACTTCAGCCTCTGAGGAACCATAACTAACTTCCCTGTCCAAGTTAACTGCCTCTGTCTGTCCTGCCATTGACTTTGAATACAACTGTGTTGTAGAAACCCTATTGTCTACTGTTGCAAGCCTCTGTAAGCCCCACCCATGACTTGCCAAAGCGTCTGGCATCTACTTATTGCTTCCTTCATACTTGGTGGTAAATACACATCACTGTGAGAGACTGCTGAGCCTATTACCATTATTTCCCCTCTTACTTCTACAATCCCTGCAAAGCCAATAACTTTAAAATACTGATAAGATATCACTGCCCGTAACATTACTTGGCTGCCCACTGTTGACCCGAAACATCTTTTTGGTAAGTTAACTCCTTCAATGCCAAATTAACACAGTTTCTAGTGACCAATCTCCTTTCCAGTAATAGCCACAGCCCTGCGTTGGCATCTTTTTTTATTTTCCGGAGGAAAGACACGGAAGCCATGGGTGTCTCATGGCTTCTCCATTCGCAATCCCTTAGTCCTTCCCTACTGTTGGCAAAGACGCCCTTAAGGCCTTGGGAGCGTGCTGAAATTCTGTTGGCCTCCTGGGGGGATTAGCATTCTTCCTTGCCACGAGATGTGTGCAGGAAGTCCTTAATACGGTGTAAAAGTGAACCAGGTTGTTCTAAAAAAAAAATAAATATGTCACTTAAAAGAAAGTACACAGGGGAGGAGAAGAGGGAGAGCCGTTGATCAGTGGGTATAGTTTCAGTTCTGCAAGATGAGTAAGTCCTAGACATGCACTGAACAGCATTGTGCCTACAGACGACCATACCGCAAGGTACATTTAAAAATCTATTTAAAGAGTAGATCTCATGTTAAGGGTCTTACCATACAATAAAGAAAAAGAAGAAGGAGAGAGGGGAGAAAATGTGGACTGTTTCTTCCTCTGTTTTAAATCACTTACGGTTTGATCCTCCACACGCGGAAAGCACAGTTCCACTAATGACTGTAATGAACAGAGTACGTATCTCCAGACACTAGGAGCTCCTCAGAGGTCATGATTTTTTTCCTTGTGTTTTTAGAAACCAGCCACACAGACCATTAGAAAGCACAGCAACCATGCATGAAAAGCTAATCAGTGTGTGTGTGTGTGTGTGTGCGCGTGCATGTGTGCGTGTGTGACCTGAGTGATCCCAGTGCTTTATTACAAATGATAGGACATAACTTTTGTGGCTTCAGGAAACTCACCACGCTGAAGCCACCCTGAGGAAGGTTTTCACAAAAAATTTCATACCATGAATGAAATGCCAAGAGCAACACGTTTGTAAGAGAACAAAATACATCGAGAGACTTAGGCCATCTCTGTTCCTTACAAAACCCGTGTCAGAGGGCTGACTGGTGACCCTTTGGTGGAGTGAGTTCAGTGAAGCAAGTGTCAGCAGTAGATTGCCCTGGGTCAAGAGCAAGTGGGAGAAGAGGAAGGAGAGAAATAAGGTCTTTAGATGATTCTTTCCAGTTGTTTGCCTGGAAGGGAAGGCGAGGGAGAGTGCTGTAGTCATAGAGATTCCAGGGCCGAGGGAGGTTTTATTCTTGTTTGTTTATTTAATACGCGGGAGAAGCTTTTATGCTGCTGAGGAGAAGGAGCCAGGGGAGGGGAGAGGAACCATCCAGAAAGCAAGAGGTTGGAAGCGGCGATCTGATGAAGGGGAAGCTCCCCTTTGCCTCTGACACCAGAGGGGTTGGGGAGGATGTTGAGTAAATATTTAAAAAGGACAATAATACAAATAACACCAAGGTGCTAAGCCAAGAAAAGCCAGATGCTTCTGAATCACTTTAGTAAGTTGGTTTGCTACTTATTCATTCATTTTTATTCGTCTGCTCATGCTGACTCAGACACACAGTAAAAGAGGCACATGTTAAGAAAATACATGGAAAACTGACAGTCGGCAGAACTCTAACCTACATAGATTGCCATTTGGGGGGGGGGGGCATCTCTATCTGGCTCTTGGATACCCTGAGATGGAAAGCGGTGAGAAGTAGCATCGGGCAGGCGGTGGGGGTGACGAGAGGAATTGCAACAGGGGAGTGTGTTCATGAGTCCCCAGGAGTTCTGAGAGTGCGGAACTTCACAGCTTTTGGAATCCGCATTGGGGAAAACACAGACAGGAGACAGCTGGAGCGACATGTGCTTGTTTACAGAATGTTGACCATGTCCCATGCCTGCACGCTCACATCCTGCTCACCCTTCTGGAGTCCCTTTGGGTTCTTCGCTCTCTTTTGGACACCCGTCTTCCCTCTGGGAATCTGTCTTCCGATCTAATCCTCCCTGTGGCTATGGACTACGCGGCACGTCTACAGATGACTCTCTTTCCCGCTTCTCCTTGGTCCTCCTTGGCTTGCTGGAAGCTCTGGGCTTCAAGTCTTAGGCTCACTGTTCCTGAGAGCAGCCGCCTGTGGCATCAGGCACTGGGTCGCATGGAAAATCCCAACACAGGCTGCTCTCTGACCCCGTCCTCCATCAGCAGGTGCGTGTGAGCTGTGCTGGTGCTTGTGTTCCCGTTGCACATGGGCAGTAATGTAATGAAAAAGGAGGCAGCAGGGATAAATGGTGCAGCGATTAAAAGCGGTAGGACCGTTGCAAGGCAGAGCTGATTCAGAAACAAAGCCCAAAGGCAATGTTGGATTAGTGGGGAGCAAAATATCTAGAAGGAAGTGTGGACCTAGGCATTTGAGGGATGGAGGAGATTTCGAAGCTAGAGGTGAGGTTTTAGGGACCCCAGCTATAGGGCAGACCAAGTTCATGGGTGGTCCTATGAACACTGAGGTGGAACTCCCCTTCCCTTCCCTTCCTTCCCCTCCCCTCCCCTCCCCTGCCCTCCACTTCCCTTCCCTCCCCTCCCTTCCCCTCCTTTTCTCTTCTCTTCCTTCCCTTTCCCCCCAGATCCGAAGTCAGTGTGGCCAGTGAAGCTTCAGATCCCGTTTTGTCCCTCGCTCCAGCTTCTCTCCAGGAGTGCATGCTGATCTTAATCTGCTTCTGCCTGCTGCACCCCATCCCGTGCTGGAAAGTCGCCTCCATACCTCCCCTGATGTCTGGGGCCTGCAACCCCTCCCATCCTGAAATGAAATGCAAGCCAACCGACCTCCGTGCAGAGCCAACTTTGAAAGCTGCTCAGTGCTGCTTATTTTTGTGTTGTTCACTTCGGATCCCTTGACTCTCAGCCCCACTCACACTGCTAACTGACACCCTGATGCCCAACCCTTGAGTAATTAATTTCGCACGGCTTGGCTTATTTGAGTTTCACAGCAACCATATACGTTAGAAAATATTACCCAAATGACCATGTACCCCATTTTGTCTGAGCATGGTCCCTGTTTATGACCGTAGTCTTAGCATAATTAGTAGTAACACCCCCTTTTGCTTTCAAAGGACCCTGATTTGGACAGTGGGTTATATGATCACCCTAACTAATGCTACACTTTCTTTCCTCGGTTTATACAAAAGACACGGAGAAGTTAGATCCCTTCTCCATTGTCACACGGCTGATGCATGGCTGAGCCAGGACTGGGACACAGGTGTCAAACCGTGCTGTGCCAGCATGCAAATCACTGCATCTAGATTTATGTTTACTAGTCCCTTGGAAGTTTTAATGGATGCCTGACCTTTAAGGATTCATTTCTACTACTAATTTAGTTCTGATATTTCTGATATATTTCAGTAGCTTATCCTCTCTCACCCCTTCCCCACCCCCAGTGGCCATCAGGTCCTACTGTGCCTGATTGGAGACCAGACAGAGGGTGAACTTTCACCACATGGGGCTGTAATAGAGAGGGAGGTGAGGTGCTGGCTTAAGTGGATAAGAGAAATTTATTTTTAGAAATGGAAGATGTGGGGGTGCCTGGGTGGCTCAGTCAGTTAAGCGTCCGACTTCGGCTCAGGTCATGATCTCACGGTCCGTGAGTTCGAGCCCCGCGTCGGGCTCTGTGCTGACAGCTCAGAGCCTGGAGCCCGTTTCAGATTTTCCGTCTCCCTCTCTCTGTGCCCCTCCCCTGTTCATGCTCTGTCTCTCTGTCTCAAAAATAAATAAACGTTAAAAAAAAAATAAAAAAAAAAAGAAATGGAAGATGTGGGCAGTTAGGTGCAAAAGACTTGCACAGGATTTTTATAAAAAAAAAAAAAAATAGTTAAGCCAAGCCATGGCCTACCCCTCTTACTTTGGACAACCTACCAGTTGATTCAAATTATCCCATGATCGATTCCAGCAAAGCAAATGGTATTGATTATGCAACAGGCTGAAATGCCTCGGACCAACTATGCCAGGTACAAGTCTATCTAGTATATCAACAGACTTGGTTGTTGTAAAAATTGAGGTTGGGAGAATCAATAGTGTCCTTTTCGTGCTAAAGCAAGTTTAGGGCCAAGAGTGTCAGCAACACGTGTTTTAAAACCTTCAAGCTGATGCAACACCTTGTTCTCAAAAAAAAAAAAAAAAAAAAAAAAAACAAACAAGAAAACCAAACAACACAAAAAAGTCCGAAATGTAGCCATGGTTACTTTTCACGTCTCGAAAACAGTGAATCTACGGACATTCACGGTGAGC